TGTGCTCTTCGTATCTGCTTTTCGGGAAACTGAAAAATGGTCATAGTTTTGAAATTGAAGAGTGCGGAAGTCGTATTCAGGCCATTTTTTCAATTTTATGTATGGTACAAAGTACATGACATGGAAAAGTAGAGCAATCGATTCAAGATAGTATCAAACTCCAATTGTAGAGTGACTGAATGACATGTTCTTTTCTGAAGATTTTGAGTTTATCTCTGCAATAATGCTAATTAAATAAATAATTTCCAAAATACTGTTGGGTTAAAAATAATTCCCTAAATATTGTTGGGTTAACCGTGGTTAAGGAAAGCCGCCAAGTACAAAATCCGCCACTTCAAGTGGCGGCTTTCAAACAAATTCTTGAAACATACAGCGTTTTATATCCGTGAAAAATGTGATGTAAGAGAAGAGCCGCCACTTGAAGTGGCGACTTTTGTACCGTAAGGGAAAAGCCGCCACTTGAAGCGGCGGCTTTCCTTAACCGCGGTTAACACAACAGTATTTTGGAAATTATTTTTAATCCAGCAGTATTTTGGGAATTATTTATTTAATTTGCATTATTCCGGGAAAAACTCGAAGATTTTCTGATTTCTACTTTAGAATTCTTTTCCGGGAATGTTTGATTTTGCATTTCATGTTTTGAGTAATATTTGACTTTGCACCTTATTTTAAAAATCATTAATGTATGCACCTCATAAGCCCAAAAATTCTGAAAGAGTAGAGTGCAAAGTCAAATGATTTTATAGTGAATTGGGTTGGATATATCAATGATTTTAAAAACAGATCTCAAACACAAATATCACCTAAAACATGAGGTGTAAAATCAAATTGTCCCTTCCTTTTATTATACCTATGTAAATTTTAATTATCGACAATGTTTATAGGATTAACAGAGCAAATTTAATTTTATTATTCATCATTCTTAACAATGCTAGATGTTACTCCGTAGATGTTTTGAACGAACACTGCCACACTGGTAACAACTTTTTAACACCCATGAGTACATATTTATAATGATGTGACGGTTTCTTTTGATGAAAACTTTTTTAATTGTATTTGGTCTTCAACAAGTCAACTCCTTTCAGACCAAATGTCTGGATCCATCTAGCGGTCCTGGACCAGTCTGGAACCAGGCCCAGTATTGTGTGAGATCAAACCAGGTCTGGAAAACAGTGCAGGTGCAGAAATGGGTACGGATCGCCGAAGAGGCAATCTCGGTCTCAGCTCAGCTGAGACCGAAAGGTTTCTAATATTTGGGAATGAACTGGACGGTTTCAGCTCAGCGGGTCGTCGACCCACTCTCCCTTAAGAAAGGTCCCGGGTTCAATTCTCAATGCAGTGAGATTGATCCCAATTTAACCCAGATCTCAAAAACCCCACCCCTCAACGCCCTCTGGGGAAAAAAACTGGGCAGTTCCAGTCCCGATTTTGATCTTAGGCCAGCCAATATTTTTTATAGCTTCAAAATGGGTAAAAAAATGTAACGAGTAGTATTCTTTTCGGGAATGGTCTTGGTAGATGATTTCAGGACTGGTCTAGCTTGATCATTTCGCTGGATCGGCCGGGCCGGTCCACTAAAATCAAATCCCGGTACCGCTTGCTTCTTTATCCGGGTTGGGCCCCAGGCTTGGTCCCGGGTCGAACCAACCCATCCCAACCCACCCCTAGATCTGACTGCCCGGGTACCTGAAGTCCCTATGTTACATGGATACATATATGGATATGCTGATACGTGAATACGGATACGACGATACAACAATTTCAAGAGTATAGGATACGAGTACGAGACGTATATTGATAAATAATAAAAATATAGGGTATAAATTGCAAATATATATAATTCAGAGGTTCATAAATAAAATAATAATAATAATAATAGTACCAAAAATGGCGCATGACTAGAGGAAGCCTCTAGCATGATGTAATAATAATAATATAGATGAACGTGGCTGGTAGTCACGAGGCAAAGGGTTGAACGTTTCAAAGTAAACATGAACCCACAGGTCGACTACTTGACTTTATATATAAAGTAAGTATATTTTTTAAAAAGGGATAACTAAGGGTTATCGCCTATAATATAATATCACCCTAGATTGAGGGTCTTAGAGATTGAAACATTGATTATACTTGGTATAGTTGTCATTGTACTTTTCAAATCCTTCAAAGTACTGACCTCCCTTTCACGGGGGAGGCCACCTCACAGTTTCAGGTAGAACTTGAAGGTTGCTACCATCGCCCATTGCTTCGGGAAGATTAAGGAGAGAAGACGTGGTTCGTGCTTCCTCTATTTCTGTTTTAAAAAAATTTACATCAATGCTCATGGATATTATTTTCTGAATAATTATTTGGGGGTTTGTATGCCATTGATGGAGTATATGGCCCAGGAACCCCCGACCCATAGACTCCAGCTTCTCCCACAAAAGCCCATTAAGCCCAGGGAGCATCTGAGGCCCAAATACAACGGCCCAAGCCTCAAAGAAGCCCGAAGTACACACTGGGATGCCTCCGGCCTCCTTGGCCGAAGGCTCCAAAACTCACAGTATAGACTTTTCCGACATACGAAGCTACTGGGAGAAAACGGCAGAAAAACATGAGCCTTCGGCACTATGAAGCCTTCGGCATTGGAGAAGCCCTCGGGTGAAGAACCGAGTCTTCGGTTATGCAAAGCCCTCAGCTACAGGACGAGCCCTCGGCTACTCGAGGAGCCTTCGGCCAAACAGGCTCAATCATCAAAAATTCCCTTTGGAGACAGCCAACCACCACATTTAATACGACGTCACATCCACCCACCGCATTCAATGCGGTGAACATGCCACTGCCAGTGCCACCCGATTGATGTGACCCCTCGGCCGTTGGATTGTTGACACGTGTACTCTCATCGCATTTATTGCTGCTATAAATAGCAGCCCATTTCTCCTTGTAAAAGATCCCAGATCCACACGCTGAGTTCATTTAATAAAATCGACTCTCTCTCCTCCAATTTGCTCTGACTTCTCTCTAGTTATTCGCGCAATAACCCCTCGGATAAGATACCCCCCGGGTAGAATATCCATCATCCATGTTTGCCAAGTGTGGCTTGAACACTTGTATTAATGTTTCCGCTGCTTTAAATGAATATTTTACATTATGTTTGTTTATGGATGTACTATGTGTGAATGGTATTCAAGACGCCTAGTATAGTATGGATGAATTGGACTGCAGTTGACTGTTCGTACTGTACGGCGGGTTGTTGACGTGCCCGGTAGGTCCGGGGCATGACAATGGTAATAATGTTCATGTGATAAGAGCATTTGATGGGCATTGGGCATGTGCTATAAGTAAAGAATGATCTAATAGTTCATTCATCTATCCTTGCTTGATAAGATAAATCTTTTTTTGTTTTTTGTTTTTTGTTTTGTTTTACTCTAGGAGGGTCTGGGGGAGGGGGGGCCTGAAGTAATCAGGGCTGAAACTCATTAAGCACCATTGAGTTTCACATTCATATGTGCCTAGCGAGTTTCTAACTCGAGACCTCCCACTAAGCACGGTAACCTCACAACCAGTTGGGCTGGAATGCTTGGTTGATAAGATGAATAGATTAAATAAAACTATCATTGTTTGGTACATTTGCAAACAATTGATTTTATAGAAATTACCCTAAATAGGAGTAAAAACGTTTTGGAAAAGGGAGATTTACCTTAATAGGAGCAAAATCAAACATTAAGAAGCTGTTCTCTTCACCTGATCTGAATGTTTCTGATCTGAATTTTTTAAGTTCTGATCTGATCTGATCTGAATGTTTCTGATCTGATCTGATCTGAATCTTTCTGATCTGGTCTGATCTGATCTGAATGTCCCTGATCTGATCTGAATGTTCCTGATCTGATCTGAATGTTCCTGATCTGATCTGAATCCTTCTGATCTGGTCTGATTTAAATATTTCTAAAATATAATTATAATTTTAATTTTTATTGTAATAATTAGAAATGTAATTACACATATATAATTTAAATATAATTATAATTATAATCATAATTATAAAAAAATTATAATTATAATTATAATAATTATAATAGGTATAATTATTATTATACATATTACACTAGTTATAAATATAGCTATAATTAGAGGAAGCGGTCCAGCTCAGCTGGTCGCCGACTCACTCTCCCTTATGGGAGGTCTTGGGTTCGAAACTCAATGCGGTGACTTTCAACCTAGTTTGCTTCAGGGGCCCCCCAGACGTCTCCTAGAGTAAACAAAAAAAAAGCTATAATTATAATTGTAATTATATTTTTAGTTATAATTATTTCTATAATTATAATTTTAATTATAATTATAATATTTATTTCTATAATTTTAATTGTAATTACTCCGTGTAATATAATAATAATAACAAAAAAATACTAATAACAATAACAACAACAACCATAATAGTAATAATAATAATAATAATAATCATAATCATAATAAAAATAATAATAATAATAATAATAATAATAATTACAATTATTATTAATATTCTTATAATTATTATTATTAATATTATTATAATTATTATAATAAAAGGGATAAATCATGTCTGAACTTTTCTGATCTGATCTGAATGTTCCTGATCTGATCTGAATGTTTCTGATCTGATCTGAATGTTTCTGATTTGATCTGAATGTTTATGATCTGATCTGAATGATTCTGATCTGATCTGAATCTTTCTGATCTGATCTGAATTTTTCTGATCTGATCTGATCTGAATAAAATAAGAATAAGCAATAAGTAATAAGATTAAGACGAACAGAACAGCTTCTAAGTCCTATTTTGGGAAAAAATCAATGTTTTTGTCTTAGCCATAACAATTTTCTCTTGGAAAAAAATGTCATATTTATAGCCTGATGATGCCAAACTTTACGGAATTTACTCATATTTTAAAATTTCAAAACGTTTTTACTCGGAATTTTCTGTTAATTTTAATTCTCAATTAAGTTCGTTGGTGATGAAATTCTATCTCATTTAGGAATTGATATATAATTGGCCGGTGTGACGCGGTGGACCTCAAAGGCTCCAACTGCTATCTATGGAGTATTATACTCCGTATATACACACTTCGCCTTTGCCGAAGCAGTAAATATAAAGTAAGATAGATGGCTATGGCCGCCTCCGCCCTAACCCGCAGCAGAATCATCATCTTTGTGCTCATCGTAATAGCCTCAACAATAACCGCCGAAAGGGTCCGTTTGGAGGAGGATGACCACCGAATCCTCAAGGCAATGATGGGCCGGTGCGGGGAGATATTCCTCAACCCCTCTTCGCCGCCGCCGGACAACATCGTCCACGCCGATGAAGCCCGGCTAGTCCCGAGACTCACCATGTACAACTGCCATCTACTTTTCGGTCAGGTCAGTAAGATAGCGGGCGCCATCACTCCCGCAGCCATTCGTCAGTTCGAATTGTACGAGGTGCCCTTCTATTATCCGAGGGCCTATTTATCATGGGTATCGCCAGATTTTGAGGACTTTTCGGAAGGTCCAGTCTCCGTCAAAGGTAATGAAACTGAGATTCCCGACAGAGATTACCACGCCTTGAAGACGGTCATGGATTCTTGTGTCCTCCAGTTACTGGATGAGGATTATGAATCCGAATCAGAATCTGGGGATAATATCAGATTCTGCAAGGAGTACTTTGACTACTTCTCCTCCTTTTACTACTACAGGGACAGGCTGACCCCCGAGTTCGTCCATGTCATGAAACACTTCGAAAAGTACTACGCACTTGACTGGGAAGCAAAGCAAATACATATTTGCTTGCTCACTAAGATGCGAAGTCCCCAAGACTGTTTCCATCCTTACGAGTGCTGCTTTCCAGGATTCGGAGAAGCTGTCATGAAGGACACACCTGTGCTTGATTTAATTACTGATGGCCTCCTTTCATAGATGTTATATATGATCCCTCGATCTATTCTCATTGCCTTTTTTCGTTTTTCTATGATTAAATTAAATCAGAGGGAGCTATCTATCTGTGTAGGAATAAGTTCAAATAATTACTCCCTCCGTTCCCAAAAATACTTCCCACTTTCCTTTTTGGGCCGTTCCCAAAAATTCTTCCCACTTTCCCTTTTTGGACAATTTGTGTGGCTCACATTCATTTTACCTTTTTCTCACACAACCACAACCACACATTTCCACTTTATTCCACTTTCTTAATAGGCGTGCCAATTCAAACCGGGAAGAATTTTTGGGAACGGAGGGAGTAATATTTAATAATTGGGAAATCCAAAGGGTGGATACTTATTGATCTTCGTCATATGAAGAGTTTTATAGGAGTAGTGAATCACCGTCCTCTGAGTTGGATCGCTCAAGGATCTGTTATTGTGTACGCGTAGTAATCAAATTCTATTGTAAAGTAAGAATATTATTTGTCTTTTCTTCTTTGTATTTACATTAGTCATCAATAACACAAAAACTTTATTGTTACATCAAATCATTTTACCCCACATCAATAAGTATAGATGCCTTCTCGAATGTAGAAAAATGTAGACCCAGTCCTCCGCAGTTGGCAAATAATGGAAATAAATACAAGGTCTAGCATGGGATCTCTTTTTTTGGCTTTTTCACTCTTGCATTGGAGTGGAGTGTGAAAGCACTCCATTTTACTCCGTATTATATTAGCCCCACATAAAAATAGATCTTGTTCAAAATAATTAAGGGAAAAAATTCGATTGGGATGGGTTCTGTTCTACGGGCCATGTGGCAAAAAAAGAAATGAAATGCCAAATGGAAACATTTGAGCTATAGGGGTGATGTTCATCCTCCAAGGAGGGGGTGAACAAAATTGCACTCCTATAAATCCCTGCCCGCAATTCTTAACAATATGCTCATTCGTGATGCCCTTACTATATAGCCAGCTTGTTTATCACCAACTATGTTTCTGTAAGTTTAATTTGGGTTATATCAGTTATAAGTTCTCTAATATTAGGTTGCATTTGGACATGTAACTAATTTGTAGTAAATTAGAATTCTTTGTTCTTTAAGTATTGCTCTATCAGAAAAGTATATATAGGATGCTTTCTAGCGCGTCTTAAAGTCAAGAGAGAATATGTCCACCGAAAAGTATACTTTAGTTAGCATTAAATTGAAAATATTTATTAGTATAGGATCAAACTTGTAATAATAACGGAAATGCATGGTTGAAAGTTACCGGACTAAAATTGCAATACTCCTTTCTTCAATGTCTTTGACAGCACTAAAGTTGTTTGTGCCTCAAAACAAATTCAATACTAACACTTACACGTAGTATGTAGTATACAGGGGCGGATATAGGGGTGGGCTAACCTTGGCCCAGGCCCAGCCCAAATTTAAAAAATCCCTTTATTTTTTAGTGTAAAAACTTCCGGACAAAAACTTTTCCAAAAATATTCTTTGTATCGACCCAGTCTGGCCCAGTGTCCTGGTTGTATAATGCAGTAGAGTTCGTATCCACATAGAAATAAATATTTTACTTTTATAGAACTTGTGATTGGGGGGGGGGGGGGTGGAGGGCTTATGATTGTTTGATTTTAATTAATTAAACACTAAGATAAACGTCTTACATGAGTGTTGGTAGAAAATACCCCGGGTAGGAAAAGAGGCAGCATTTCAGTATAGTCAGAGCCGGTGATAAGGGGAGTTACCCTAGGCAAGTGCCTAGGGCCTCCATATTTTTAGGGCCTCAAAATTTTTGAGAAATGCTTTTTATTGAAATATATTTATATGTGTTATTTGAGAGATGATTGTATTCCTTCGTAATCTCAACTGCATTCTTAAATTAGGATGCCAATCAATTATTTTATAGTGGCATCCAGATTTTAAATAAGTGTGAACACAAATTTAAAGTTTGGAATTGAATCAGTGATCATTTCTCTCTATTATTTAGTTAATTTCAATTTTTACATAGTATGTATTCTTTGTATTTTAGTCTTATTATATTAGCCTTATTGATCATTGACATCAACTTTGAAAATTCACACATTCTTATACAAAAACGTATGTAGTATATAATATGAAAATGATACGAGTATATTTTTATCATATAATTATGTTCATTCTGGACACTGCAAAGACCTTGATTGTATACCTATAGTAATGCTCTGTTTTAGTAATAGTTTATTAAAAAAATCATTATGTACTACTTCATATTTTATTCACTTAATTGGGATATCAATTCTTAATCATTATGTTTCCATCCTTACGAGTGCTGCTTTCCAGGATTCGGAGAAGCTGTCATGAAGGACACACCTGTGCTTGATTTAATTACTGATGGCCTCCTTTCATAGATGTTAGATATGATCGATCCCTCCATCTATTCTCATTGCCTTTTTTATTCGGTTTTCTATGATTAAATTAGAGGGAGCTATCTGCTCATGCGTGATGCCCTTAGTATATAGCCAGCTTGTTTATCACCAACTATGATTCTGTAAGTTTAATTTGGGTTATATCCGTTACAAGTTCTGTAATATTAGGTTGCATTTGGACATGTAACTAATACTCCTTCCGTTCCATTTTGGTTGTCTTACTTTCCTTTTTGGGTTGTCCCAAAATCGATGTCATGTTTCCCTTTTTGGTAAGAAATTTATAGTCCATATCATTTCACTTTATTTTACACAAATCTCAACCACAACTTTTAGTCTTTTACTTTTCAACCAATTTATTAATAACCGTGCCAAATTGAAATGAAACAATCATTATGGGACGGAAGTAGTAATTCTTTGCACTTTAAGTATTGCTCCATCAGAAAAGTATAGTATGCTTTCTATATGGCGCGCCGTAAAGTCACCAGAGAATATGTCCACCGAAAAGGATAATTTAGTTGCCAAAATCGTTAAATTGCAAAGATTTATTAGTTATAAGATCAATAATTCCTTAAGGGAGAATGCTTGGGAATTTGAGTGAATGAACTTCAACGCTTTAAGCTGCCCTGTTTTCTTATTGCTTTAATCGTGTAGTTTTGCTGCTATATATCATATCGCCTAGGGATGTTTTCTTTTGGACTGTTTTAAGTCCCAGACCAGATCAGACCAGACCAGACTTAAACAGACCAGACCAGACTTAAACAGATCAGACCAGACCAGACTTGGATAGTTATAAAATACACAGAGACCAGACGTTTACCAGACCAGACCAGACTTAAACAAACCAGACCAGACCAGATCAGCAAATTTCAGTCCAAAAGAAAACATCCTAGCTAGTAACTCCGTTATGCTCATTTTAAAGATGTTTTTAGCAATGCATATTTCAAAAGTCTCTATTACATTAAATTTATATAGGAGTTGATTATAGACACGAGATCACAAATCATGAAACTCAATCGCAAATTGTAATACCCAATAACTGAGGTTTGATGCTCACTGAAAATGTATTGATGCCCAACGAACAAAACTTATAATTTTCATATCAATGCTCATCTTGTAAGTTACATATGTTCATTTGTATAGGTCCAATGCTTATTAAATATATTTAAATGAGCATATTATAAAATTTAAATGAGTTGTTGTCGGGGCAACTTGGCGATATCTTTTCTCGCTTAAATAATCTGGAGGAGATGTATGAGATTTATATGACACTACCATTTTTAATGTTTATACTATATTACTGGATTAACATTTGAATTGAAGTTTCAAGGATTTATCATACAATATGTTCTCCTTTGATCTTCCGCCATCATTTAGAGATTTGACAAGCTTGAAAAGAGCTTGTAAGGTTCCCTCGCTAACCCCATCCCCCAATTATTTTGACGTTATTATCTTAATTTTTTCAATTTTTAAAACTAACTACTCAAGACAAGTACATATACCTGCAAGGTAACTTGTTCAGAGGATCATTCATTCATTTGTCTGGGATCCCGCTTCAACACTTGTGAGTTGCGTTACTTGTAGAGTTTCTTACATATTTAGAGTTCACATTTTGTTTCAATTCTCAAGTGTTCCTTCGCAGGAATATTGAAGACGCTTACTACTCCTTTGAGTGTTTGAGTCACAATGCTAGCTTCTGTAATCAAGGCTCATCATACAAAATTTCATTTACCTTCCACCCTTTACCTTCAACCCTTTTGTCCCTTTAGCTTCCACAATATACCATTCATCACAAAGAATAAGGCTAACTGGTTAAGTGGTTAACATGCACTATATAAGACATGCATAGCCACCTTTCAGAATTCAGACCTAGGCTAAGTCAAAGGCTACATCATGATTCTCATATGCATATTCAAAGATAAGGCATACAACTTAGGCACATTTCAAATACTCACAGAGTTACAATTAACTAGTTAAGTACTTAACATGCCATATATGATATATGCATATAAACCTTCAGAATTCAGACCTAGGCTAATCCTGAGACTACATCATGATTCTCATATGCATTTCTTTTTACTCCAGGGGGTCTGGGGGAGGAGGGCTGTGGGAGGCTGGAGTAATCAGGGCTAAAACTCACTCCATTGAGTTTCGAACCCTTATGTGCCTAGCGGGTTTCGAACTCGAGACCTCCCACTAGGCACGGTAACCTCATAACCAGCTGGGCTGGAATGCTTGGTTTCACATATGCATATATTTAAAGATAAGACATACAACTTAGACACATTTGAAATACTACTCACAGAGTCACAGTTAACTAGTTAAGTACTTAACATGCCATATGTGATATATGCACATAAACCTTTCACAATTCTGGCCTACATTAAGCCCGAGGCTACATCACGATTCTCATATGCACATTGAACGATAGGGCATACAACTTAGGCAGATTTACAGTATTAACGGAGTCACATATGCAGTTAAGCAGTTAACATGCCAGTATGCCACATATGCATAACCACCATTCAAAATTCAGACCTAGGGTATGCCGAGGCTCCATCATCATTCTCATGTGCATTTCCGCCATTTACAATGCACAGATAACTTATAAAGTACACACGAATCAAAATTCAATACATGACCATCATCATCATCATCACAAATTCACAATCACATGTTACAGTTTAAACATCATCAACAACATTATACAATCAAATACATGAGCTTCCACAAATCACTATACATTGATATGAATAAATGAAAACATATATCACAAATTCGTAACAAAACTGTAGTTAGAATCGTAGAATGGAAGAAATACCTCTGAGATGATGAGATAGAATAATATTACAAATTAGTGTAAGAAATTCTACCAATTAGAGTTTTAGACTTCGAACAGTCGCACACTGCACAACCAGCGACGAAGGTCTGGAACGAAAAATCAGAGATCAGACTGACGGAAAAGCGGAGAAGGTCTGAGACCTTAACACTAACCGGAAAACCGACGAGGTTCGAGATTGAAGATGAAAACGAGAGGAGAGTGTAAGGTCAGAAGATGAAGAGAGAAGACGGAAGAGAGAGGAGAGATCAAACGAGGAATGAAGGAGGTGGATAGAGTTAGGGCTGTTACACACACATATATACCAT